CCCGGGGGGCGCCGGCGTTCTGCGCGGCTGTGCGTGGGACTGCGCGGGTGGGTCCGGACCACGGGGACAGCCACAGCGTGCCCATCACCCATGGGGAAGGCTGCGTGAGCGTGAAAGCGGATAACACAGTCTGCTCCGGTCTCTGGATTTCGGGAGGAAAACCACAGCCCCTTGAAGGATGCTCCTGCGCGGGACCCAGGCGGGGTGAGGGCTGCGGTCGCGGGCGTTTCCAGCCGCGGGGCTCTGGCAGGCAGGTCGCTCTGCTCCGAGGGCTCGTGATGCTGAGTAATTGCTCCAAGAAAACGCCAAGAGAGGTTTGAGGAGGGAGGCACCACCAAATATGGAATTTTATTTTCCATCAGGCAGTGAAAACACAGTTCCCTGGTCCCGCTGAAAACTTTTTCCCAGGCCGGCTGCTGAACTTAGTAGGAAGGGATTTTTTTCCGTAGGCTGGGGGCGGGGAGGGGGTTGTTTTCTAAATCAATGGAGATAGCAGAAACCCCACTGTAAATTTCTAGGGCAAGTGGCAAGCTGGTTTACGGAATGCAGGGAGATGAGAACCTCTGGCTTACGGAAAGCAGCATGAATTAATAATCATTTAATTGGCTTCTCCATTATGTTGCTGGGTTGGGAGATGGGAGTTTAGATGAAGGGGCTGTCAGTGGTGCTTTAGCTAAAAGAACCTGATGGCTGGGGGGCAGGGTGGGGGCCCCCCTCCCCAGGGCTGGCAGCTTTGGGGACACTTGCCGGTTTTGCCTCTGGCCAAAGGCCAGGATCCCCACTTCCAGGGAAGCGTCTCGTCTCACCTCTGAAATAACACCTGGGAAAAGCAGAAGCTGCCGAGGAAGAGCGAGAAGACAAGGAGGTCTCCAGGAAGTGCCGTGGTGGGCCAACACGCCTGCAGCCACACCATCGCGGTGCACCTGGCTTTCGGGTACAGTTGTTGAGAAGCGCAGATTGTTCTCTAAGGTTGGCAAACAAGGATTTAATTCCTTTCAAGAGTTAAAATAAGGAACTTACTAACTGATACGTAGGTGTATATCATACTTTAAATCCAGGTTAGTTTTTCTTTTCTGCGAGGCCTGTACCTCTACGTGAGTCTTGGATGTGGCTAGAGGTGTTGTGCCCCACCTTCTCTGATGCCGAGCTGCGGTTTGGGGCCAAGGCCCTTTTGACGTTTTTTTTGGCCGAGAACGTTTTGTCCCATCCACTCCGCACAGACGCGAAGGTCCCGCGCGGCTGCCGGCGAGCTCTGCAGGCAGGCGCCGAGCTGCGTGGCCTCGTTTCTCCAGGCAGAAGGCAGTTCTTAATTCCTCTGATCTGTGATGTGGACTGAATGTGTCACTTCATGTGTTTGGCTGTTTGTCAGCGATAAAGTTCGGTCTGGGTGTTGAAATTCCCCCTTGAGCTGTCAACTCAAAAATGAATACTTAGAACAAATATTTAATATGTGGTTTTTCAGAACTGCAACAAAATAGTTATTTTGGGGTCTGGACAATCATTAATAATTCTGGTTTTGAAGGATTAAAGTTATGGGTTGGATTCAGTGCTAAGTTTAATAAAAACAGGCACTTCAGAGATGGTAAGTAAAAGTAAATTTTGATTACCTTTTACTTTTCCCTAATTCTAAGCAGGCTGCTTCACAGTAGAAAGGAAATAAGAAAATTACATGTCGTGACTCCAGAGGTTACAGCTAGTGTACAGCAGCTACGGGGCAGTTGACGGTTGTTAAATTTAATGTCACTGCATCCAAAAACATCACGTCGGTGAGCTGCTGGAGGCGGTGCACAGCGAGCAGCGAACGGTGAAGTTGGTGGCAGAGGGTGAGGACCAGGGGCTCCGTGAGCTCCTCGTGCCTTGCTGTGCCAGCGCAGACCCCACTGCCAATGGGGATGCCAGGGCTTCTCTAAATGTCCAGAACTCACACTGCAGGAGCTCGCCTGGGTTTAGTTAATGCCGTTCTGTAGGTATTTCGTGGTTCTCACCAAAACTGAAAGCATTGTCGTCCTTCATTTGGTAAGGTGACCCATATGCATGAGCAGAGGTTTCTCCAGTCACCGCTTTTCCTCCCTCACGTCCCCTGCCCCTCCCACAGGCTGGCAGTGCCGACACGGCTCACCGCAGCGCTTGCCGGTGGCTTGGCAGAGCAAGTGGCACCCAGAGGTTTGAAGCAGCAGCTGGCAGACACAGAGCCTGGAGAGACCCTGCCCAAACCACGCAGGAGACACAGTCGCCATCTGGGGCAGAGAAGTCTAAGGGGACCCAAAGTCATGGCTGGCGCTGTCATCCCAGCTCGGGGCAGGGCTGGAGCAGAGCTCACATGGCTGTGTGACCGTACTGGCAGACCGGGGGTCTCCACACACCTGGCTGGGGCTGATGCTTCCATGACCAAGGTCTCACCGAGGAGTGGACGATGTCAACAGCAATTAGCCTCCTTAGCAGGGCCACTCACGTCACACGGGGCTCGGACAGGGCGTTTTAAGGCAGGGTGTTGCTCCACCTGCCACAGTGCTGGCTCTCGGTGGTGGTCTCTGCCTCCCCAAACCCACCAGGTGGGACCACTTCCTCGGCAGAGGAGCAGCGCAGGCATGTCTGGGGTATTGCCGTGTTTCTCATCCTCCAGACACATTTTCATAGGAAGTCAGGGAGAACAGCTTTGGCCCTGTAGACATCTTTAACGACTTTCCGATTCTGAACACCAGGGAAGGTCTCGGGTTCAGCCAGTGGATCGACCTGAGAGGCCACCCATCGTTCTGCACACCTCGAATACTGTGTTCAGTTTTGAGCCCCTCACTACAAGAAGGATGTCGAGGTGCTGGAGCGTGTCCAGAGAAGGGCAACGAGGCTGATGAAGGGTCTAGAGAACAAGTCTTGTGAAGAGCGGCTGAGGGAGCTGGGGTGGTTTAGTCTGGAGAAGAGGAGGCTGAGGGGGGACCTTATTGCTTTCTACAACTACCTGACAAGGAGGTTGTAGTGAGGTGGGTGTTGGTCTCTTCTCCCAAGTAACTAACGACAGGACGAGAGGCAATGGCCTCAAGTTGTGTCAGGGGAGGTTTAGATTGGATATTAGGAAAAATTTCTTCACTGAAAGAATGGTCAGGCACTGGACCAGGCTGCCCAGGGCAGTGGTGGGGTCACCATCCCTGGAGGTGTTCAAAAAGCGTTGTAGACGTGGCACTTCAGGACATGGTTTAGCAGGCGTGGGGATGTTGGGTTGATGGTTGGACCTGATATGATCTTAGCGGTCTTTTCCAGCCTTAATGATTTTATGATTGTATGATTCTAGGGGGCAGAGCGGGGTCTGTGTTCGTGTCCGCAAGTCAGCCCTGGCACCGCAGACTTGTTTTACACAAAGAAACTCTAGGTTTGGATGTTTTAGTGGTGTTGGCAGCACAGTAGGGTCCTGTGGTTTTGGTTTCAGATACAGCCTGGCCTTTACGACTGCGCATGGAGGCTGCGTACCCAGCCAAGGCTGAAATCCCAGGCGTGCGGCGGGGCGGCGCGGCGGGGAAGGAGATCACTAAGCAGTCTTTGGCGTGGCCAGGTCTACCAGGAAAAGTTCAGTAGCACCAGAGCTCCCCTGATCCCTGCCTCCCTCTGGCAGTATTGTTACCTGTTCGCAAGAGCTTTTCTCCCTCTCCTGGAAGGTTTTTTGCCTCCATTTAACTGAGCGCTCAGAAGCGGGGTCTGGCAGGAAGGTGTTTAGAAACGGGGATGGAATTTCTCACTGTGCTGTGGCACCTTTCGAAATGCAGCTCATGCCAGTGAACGGAAGGTGCTCGGAGAAGGAAGCTGTTTGCCTGGAACTTACTCTGACGGCATCTTCTGAAACAAGGAGCGGATACCAGCGGGTTCACAAAGAGAATAAGAGACAAGAGGAAGAGTATGGGGGGACCGGTCTAAGAATGCTACAGTGCCTTGTTAATCGGCAGCCGATCCATCATATTAAATATCCAGCTGTCATATATTACCTTTCAAGTGAAAATGAATAACTCCCATTAAGGGCGAAATGGGTTTGAAGTCGATTCGAGACAGATTAAAGTACTGTTATGAATGTGTGTTCAGGGAGGAGGAGATGGGGGCTGTGTATAATATACTTGTCCTTACAGTTTTTAAATAATAGATGTCCCACAAATTTATGTACTGCAGGCTGCCAGGGTTCGGGGGAGGGGTAAAGGTCAGGGATGTGCTTCTCGGAGTGCCTCAACTTGCAGAGTGTTGTGCTGTTGACTTCGGGGCTCATTTGCCTTGTTCTGTTCTGCTGAAATAAAATCACCTTTCCTCAGCTTGTTTCAGTGTGAGATTGTCCGGGTCTATGGCACTGGCTGTAGGCTGGGTCCTGCTGCTGGTCTGCCATTGTGATTTTGGTGGGACTGCTTGCTGAGAAGTACCCCCAGATGCTCTTCTTGAGTCCTGGCAGTGAGTCGCGGCTTCCAGCACAGAGGGCAAGGCAGATGGGTTGGCGGCCACAGGCTCCAGCCGTCTCCGAGGCAAACGTATGCCAGAGTGTTCATGTGCGAGAGGTCCCGGGTGAGCGAGGAGTACGAGTTCTGCTCTGCTGAGTCACTCCGACTGCTCGTGGAGATGCCATGTCGGCCTTCACGTCTGGCCAAGCATTTGTGTGTCCGATGTAAACACAGGACAAGACTCTCCTGCACCTGCCAGGTTGTGAGCAGCCTACAGAAATAGCTGAGATTTCTCTGCTTCTGACTATAAACGACACAGTTCCCTTATCCCTTACTATGGAAGATAATCAAGAATGAGCTTTTGTAGGCCAGGCGTGCTTTATAGGACGTAAGTTAGTCCACAGGCTCATCCTCTTCCAAGTTCTTGGTGTGTGTTTCAAGCAATAGCAGCAGAGTAAATGGAAGTACTGTCTTCATCCAACTTCAGCCTCTTCAGGGATGTCCTGATATAAATCTCTTTTTGTTGCAGCACCAGCCAGCCAGGCAGAGAAGGAGCTGACAGAGCCTCCGGCATCTTCTAAACGAATCTCGTTTCCCAGCAGCTCTGAGTCGCCTCTCTCCTTTAAATGGTCAAAAACTTCAGAGGAGACCAAATCAGAACAGGTAAGGAAGAAGAACCCAGCTTTTTGTGCATCTCCAAGCAGGTAATTTGTTTCATATGTGCCAAAAGCAAAGAATAAAATAGGAGAAGGAGGATGAAAGGCAATAACTGGTGGTAGGAGAAGGCATCGAATTATTAAAGTCTAGCTGTAAGGAAAGAGGAAAGAAGCAGCTGTAACAATTGCATGATTCATTTGTCTTGCTCTGCAGATGTATCAGTGTCCATACTGCAAGTACAGTAACACCGACGTGAATCGGCTGCGGGTGCACGCCATGACCCAGCACTCGGTGCAGCCCATGCTCCGCTGCCCGCTCTGCCAGGACATGCTGAACAACAAGATCCATCTGCAGCTGCACCTCACCCACCTGCACAGCGTGTCACCCGACTGTGTCGAGAAACTCATCATGACGGTAAGTGGCTGCGTAGTCAAGCACGTCCGCTGCCTTCCTAGCGAAGACGAAGAGTCAAGGGATGGCCTGACCAGCGCGGGCTGACTTTGCCGTGGTGGGCAGCTCCATCATCTGTCAGGGCTCTGTCGTTTCGGTTTTTCCCAACCCTGCATGTTTTGTCTGCAGAGACTGTCTTGTCCGTGCTTGAGCACTGTGGAAACTGGCAGTGTTGCAGTGTTGAGTAATTTCCCGTGTGAGGAGATTAGAATAAATACGATTGCCTTTAGCAGCTGAGGTCAGTGTGTGGGATCGCAGCTTGCACAGAAGCTTCTGGGAGGTGCGGTAGCTGCTGTGCTGTGCCGCTCCTGTTGCAGAGAGAAGGTGCTGGTGTGTTGATGAGCACTTCCCAAGAAGGACAGACAGGGTGATTAAGGTAACATTACAGGAAATTAGATATCAGGTTTCTGCTTAAAATATGATTTTAAGAACCAATAGAGTAGCTTCCCTCGGTGGACTCATCTCGTGGAGAGGAGACAGTTTTGTTGTGCTGCCCGTGCTCTGCGCTTCGTTCCCTTAATGAGGATCCTTGTTGTGGTTGTATGAGAGAAGTTGGATCTGTTACTTCTATGAGGGGTTGCTCCATCCAAAATTACACTGCTTTTGTTGTGTAACAGTTCCCATTTTTCAGGGTAGCCTGAACAAGCAAGGGATATGCTGCCATTGGCCCAAGGGAGGTGGAACCTTACGGGACTGTTGAATACTAGAGCTACTGTTTCAAGGGCTGTTTTAAGATGTTTTGAAATGCCTGGTTTTAAATCAAGCTGTAAGCATAGGCAGTTAAAATTCTCGAAAGTAGGAAGTTAGCCACTGAAGTGTGGAGTGAAAGCTCACTAGATAAAGTTGGCTGTCTTCAGGTAGAGCTCAAAACTTGTAACGACTCCGCTTTTCAAGGTGTTGTGACACAAAACGTTGTGCCTGTGCATGGGCTGTGATCACTATTGCAGTATCCTGATGGGGAGCAGAAACTTCAGGCAGCAGATTGTGGTTCAGCACAAACAAGTTTGCACCAGGCTCTGCCCTGCATCCTTGTTTCAGTACCTAGCATGGGAATCCTCCTCCAACACCATCTCCAAGGAATCAAAATTCGTCTAACTTGAGAGCGAGTGCTTGGTGAGAAGTGGTAAATTCACAGCACAGTGTTGGGCTTCTCGCCTGTGAGACGTGGCTTTGTGCTCTGGCTTGCTTTACCCCAGAGCCGCTGGCCTCGAGTCTCTCTGCTGCTGGCGTACGTGTGGAGCCGTGCGTGCGGCTGCCAGACCTCTTCTGCAGGACTTGTGCGTGGTGTCACGGCACAGAAATGCTCATGAAGGCTTACCCCACGCTCCAGCACGCAAGCACTTGCTTCAGTACAAAACATTTTGAGTCCCAGAATGTTTCTTTCATGAATTCCCTATTCATAGGTTTCACATGAGTGTGCCTTTCCATTTGCTAGTGTCAGTTTAAGGTACAGGTAGAATTAATAAGGCACATTTTCAAAACCCCTTCTAAATTCACAGATGGGATGTATTGTCAGATTTCTACACTGTTCTTTGTTTGGTATAATCTTCAAGGCAAGGTTGTGTCTGCATTGAACAATTTGTTGCCAAGTATAAAAAAAAGCATTTGTTTGGATTCCTGTCAGTTCTTTGTGATTTTTTTTTTCTTGCACCCCATATCTGCTGGTTTTCTCCCTTCTTCCCCGATCCCTGACAGTGGAGGCGAATAATACGTTTGTCGTATTACTCTTGTTCTTTATCAGCTCCCATCCTGTGACATCGTCTGAGCAAGCCCGTGCGGCGTTGCCCAGCTTTTCTTTTACAGTTCTCTCGTCTTCTCTTTCTGTCACCCTTCCAGTCCTCTTGTGGCTCCTTCTCAAACACCTTTATGGTTTTCATCTTCCCTCTTTGCTTTACGGGCTGCCTGGCCTCTCATTTTTCTGCCCTCTCTCTCAGCCCCATCAGGCTCGGCAGAAGCCAAAGGTGTGTGCGGTGGCCACGGTTGGACCAAGCGCTCCCACGAGAGCCGGTCGCTGCACCGCGTCGTAAAACCCAGTAAAAATCCGGCCAGGCTGCCGGGTCCCAGCACTCCGAATAACGAAATAGAAAGAGGCAGGGGAAAAGAGCCCCAGCAGTGCTCCAGGCCTGCGAAGCTGGCCGTGCCTGCGGGCTCTTGGCAGGGCATAGCTCTGCTCTGCCGACCACTCGTGTGCCTGGGTCAAGGAACTGTCCCCTCACAAAGACCTTGGGCTCTGCGACCCGCATCCGTTTGGATTGATGGTGCTTAAGTGCGTCAGTACCTTCAGAGGACTTGAACGAATCTTGTTAGATTCTAACTAAATTGATGCAAGACATTGTGACCTTAGACGAGCAGTGAACGGAGGCTGAGCCCCTGGCTTACGCCAGCAAGCGTAACCGGTTCGCTAAGGGCATCTGTTACGCGGACAGTGAAGGGGTTCATTCCTGAGCCGGGCTGTTGGTGGAACGCAGTCTGGAACAGGTGCAGGTGGGCTGGTCCATCCTCTCGGCCTGAGCAGGTCTGTGTCCTCCAGGGTACATGGAGACCAGCAGAAGCTACTCGTTAAGGAGCTCAGGGACAGAGGACGTGGCTGCAGCACCCCAGAGGACAGTCCCCGTAGGTGAGCGCAGGGCCTCGTCCTTCTGCGGCAGAGCACAGGGCTTCTGCCAAGAGCCGTGGAGGCTGGCCTAGCTGTGAAGCTCATCCTCTTGCTTCTTTCTGGTTTTCCCACCTTGCCGTTGCCACTGGCCCAGGGCACCTGGCTGCTTTGGTACCCAGAGATAGGTCCAGGGAGGAAGATTGCCTCTCCTGCTTCTACTCAGGTAGCGGCTGGGTCCAAAGGTGGTTCTTTCTGCATTAAATTACAGATATTTTGAGAAATGGTATGGCTTATGCAGAATGTAGCAGCATCAAAGGTTCCTAATTTTTCTCATTCTAGCTAAGCTTCCCGTCTCGGTCTGACGCGCGAGTCGGGTCTTGGTGCCACCGCAAGGGAATTGCAGTCCAGTAAATGGGAGCCAGGTCCCTTTCGACACAGTGTCTTTGCGCTCAGCGTTTGGAGGAGGCTCCAGTTAATAATACCTTATCAGACGCCTTTCAGGAACCTGCAGTGTCTAATATGTCTGTTGCCATAGTAACGGCTGCTCGCTTGCGCTCAGCATCTCCGCGCTGGCTGGTCCGTGCCCCGTCCTTCTCATATCAGCGAGCAGCCGGGCTGGCTGTCCCACGGGACAGCCGGGTCCTCCCCGCCGGCCCAGGCGCTGGGACGGGGGCTGGCAGGGGCGCGGGCACGGCGCGTCTGAGCGGGTCTAATCGCCATCTTCCCACATAACAGCCTCTCTGCTAATCTCGGGCCTGCACCGCTTCGGCAGAGAGCCCCTTAATGAGGGTGAAGTGCAGTTCGCCTGCACAGTCGATTGACAAGACTGATGGGCTCAAGCCGGGAGAAGGGACGGCTTCCCGAGAGCCTCCGGGAGCGGGGAGCTCTCCCTCCTCCCGCGGCCAGCTTTATCCTTCTGCACATTCCTCTCCCGTCATTGCTGCTGTCAGTTTTCTCTTCCTCGGTTTAGGGCGTCTTCCCAGTGTTTCCAGCCATCTGCGTGTCTTTCTCTTTTCTCCCATGCGCTAAGAGTAATTCCTGCCCGTCCCTGCCATCCTCACTTCTCGCTCTTGCTATCTTTATGTTTTTTCCCTCTTTCCTATTGTCTTTTCTTATTGCTCTCTCCCTTCTGCTGTCATTCAATTTTTCTCTCCCTCCTTCTCGCCCCCTCTCACTCCCCCCTTTCGCTCTCACTCTGTGTCTCATTCTCCATCTCGGATGAAGGTAATGAAAATAATCGGGCTTCATTAATTCTGAGCCCTGTGAGATGATAGCCATTTGGAGCCATGTTTGCCAATTAGATGGTCTAAATTAGAAGTGACCTTGGTATACTGCCATCGCTTTGCCTCTCTGAGTCTAATGAAGCTTTTCACTCCAGCACCCTCTCTCTCTCTTTGTAATGGAAATTACCTCCTTTGTCTGGTTCGGGAACCTTGCATCGCATGTGTATTTCCCCCTGGTTGCATGGACATAGGGATAGTAATGGATCTCTTCAGACCCCTTAGAGAGGTTTTCTTTTCAAAGCCGCCCGATTTCAGCGTTTTGGGGCATTTACGGAGGAACCACGTAGCCTGCCCACATGTCCAGTCACTCGGTCCGGAGGAAAGTCAGAGCAGGCAGACACAGCGCGCGGGGGGAGCTGGCTGTTCACGCTATCCGAGATTAATTTTTCGGACGTGCCAAGAATATGCTTGTGTCACGCTGCCGGGGCCGGCGCGGGAGGGGGGCTGCGGCTCTGAGG